ATAATTGGGGAATAAGCACAGCAAAGAATGGTACAGTAGAAGTGCAAGCAAGAATAGGAATGTTGGAAAGAGAATGAAGAAGTAAGCAGGAAAGAGCAGAAAAATTCAGGGTAATTTGAAGTTTGACAAGATATGTAATGACTGATAAAATAAATTATAGTTACATAAAAATCCTTTGATTTTTGGGGGGAGGGGGAGGGGTAATCAGGTGTTATCTGACATCTTACAGTAGTTTCTATTCTCTTTCAAGGGGACAGTTCTCTACAAATTTGCATGAACTCTAGCTTGGCGTGCATGAATGCACCTAGGGTGCAAGCTGGAATTCTGTGGACTGATATGTAAACACATGTGCAAACCCTTTTGTTGGTGTCTTTGCCTGTTTTGTTTGTTTGTTTGCTATATACAATACTGAGAACCTACAACAAAGGGATAGTGAATTGAGTTGATAATATTTGTACTTGGTATCGAGAACTTGTGAAACAAAGGTCTTTTTAAAACAATGTTCTCTATACAGGGAAATTTCTTTTTTGCAAGGCACCTGCAGCGCATTTGTTCCTCTGTGTTACTTTCAGTGTCTTTGCATTGGTTTGTGTTGAGTTGGGCTTGGGGTATTTTAATTCTCCAGAGGTATTACTGCCTTCTCATGGTTAGAAAGTAATCCTCTTATCCCCAAGAGGATCAGTAGGCTGGAATAGACTGGACATGAGTGAATGCTGCCCTAGTTAGCATAAAATTGGAATTTTCTTGTACAGGCTTTCTTTGTGGCTATTTTTCTGTGTCTAGCCATGAGTCCTCCTAGTTTCTTTGGCTCAGTTTCTGTTTGATAGTGATTTGTTGTTTGCTTTAGTGATCCCTCTGCAGAGACAGAGAGAATGCCTCAAAGATTTATCTTTTAATCTTTTTCATCCTTAGGAGCAGAAAATTCTGTTACCATGTCTAAGGACAGTAAGACTGATTGGGGCCTATAGATAGCAGTTTTATGCTTTATGATAGAGAACACAAATGTGTGTGTGTGTATATATATATATATATACACACACACATATATATAGATATATAAGATGAAAAACTAGAATCCAGTCTGTGTTTGGGAAAAAAATGCTTCCCTTAATTTTATTAGCTGACCCTTTTTTAAATTCGCAAACTGAACTGGCAACTGGCAAGTTCTTGTCAGATAAGTATTTATATTGAGTACTTTCTTATTCATTTCGTTTTGATGTAATTGACAAAAGAAACTCACGTTAAGTAATCCTCCCCTTTTATCAACACATAGGTTAAAAAAATACACTTAGAAAAGGAAATAGAATATAACTAAGTCTACTCCAGTGTTCTTAATTTCAAATAACTGAGCTCTTGCCAATTGTGAAGGTGAATTCTTTTTTCCACAATAAACAGTGCAGTCCCACACCAGGCCTGTTTCCCATGCATCAAGCATCACTCTAATGATAGCTGAGGTAATTTGGTATTGAATTGCTTACTTATGTGTTTTTCTCTGTGCAGACAGTGTCTGATGTAGCAGGTCAGGACTCGTTTTCAGTGGTGTATCACTGATGTGATGCAATGAGTCTCAGCCCCAACCAGTGCTGAGGAAGAGGTCCCACTTCTTGAAGCTGAACATGTATACGCATGAATCAAAGGACAATGTAGAACTTGTCCTCCTAGGGAAACAGTTTGCTTACTAAATGTCATCTGACAAAAAAAATATATAAATGGATTTGTTATTTTAGGTTCTTAAGCTTATGACAGTTTCTTAAACATTTTGTGAGCGTGGAATTTGGGAGACAATAGAAAGCCATACCATTTGCATGAAAGTAAAACAGGATCTGTCTGAGAAAATAATTAGGCATGGAGGAGAGGTTTTCTTTTGCAGAATGTTTCTGGAAAGGAAAGAAAAATAGAACTAATGGTTATGTAGGGCCTCATATTACAGGCTCTGGTCTGTGATTGTCTAGAAATTGAATTAACCTCTCTCTTGTGCATACTGTTTAAAATGTAACTTAGGAAAGACTGCACAGAGGTTAGGACTCTGAAGGTCTAATAATCCAAAATAGTAGCAGAGGTTCTCACACTGGGAGAAGGGACAACTTGTGACAAGAGAGGAAAGGAGGCAAAGAGGGGGAAGAAAATGTTAATTTTGGCAGTAGAGCTGACAGAATAGATTTGTCTCCAAGGCAAATAGTTGTAAAAGTAGGCCAAAGGGGTCTACTGAGTAAACAAATGGAAGTTTGTTGGTTCTTTCCAAAAAGGATACTTTCTATGTGCACTGTCTGGGCGACAGAAACCAGAAAATGAACTTGTTAGTCTTTTAATAACAGAAGACAATTGCATATGGTTTTAATGCCACTATCAACTTTTTTTTGCCTTCAGGAATAAAGGTTCTATTGTTCATAAACACAGAGGGCTTGCCTGCGATTATGGTGTTATTAAGGGGAATTGTGTTATGTGTAAACCTGTTAGGTTTCTTAACACCATTCTAAATAAGCATGATTTCAAGTCTTTCAATCTAATATTTTCAGCAGAATGTTTTAAAACATTTTTTTAGTTTATGCTAATTAAATGAAGGTTACTAATTTAAAAAAAAGAAAGAGCAATAAAAGTGAGGCAGTTTATTTCTAAGGACTCCTGTTATTTTGTGGCATCTGTCATCCTGTAAGTGCTGCATGCTTTTCCTAAGTAGGTAGGGAGTGTTCTGTAACTCCTTGGGGTTATTTTGGTTTGGGGAGGTAAAGTCATCTGACAGGAAGGAAAAAGAGTTTAATTCTGAAGTATTACTGGGATGTAAATGCAAACCTTCTTTCATAGATGCGTACAAACCAAAGAAAAAAAATGCAACAAATTTTTGAGGCAAATTTAAAGGATTTGAAATTATTTTTTAAAATTCTGTCATCATTTAGTTTGAATTGACTTTGTTATTATGGGGTGAGAAGAAGGGAAGAAAAAGTGCTAAAGATCAGAGTGGGTTTGCGGGACTGGAGAGGGAGAAACAAACTTGGCAAGTCTGGGCAAAATCTGTTTTCAGGACATAAAGACAATTTGAATGCAGAAGGAAGGCTGCTCCCTAATGATTTTCCTTTAGGGACTGTCCAATCTACCCCCCTCACAAAAATGCTGTGCAGCCCCTGTAAAACAAGAATTATCCACTTCTCATACTTGCTGGGCTGCTAGAAATACAGGTAAATCAGGGTGTAGCCTATGAGAATAGGACTACTTGATATGAGGGAATCAAACAGAAAAAAGACAGGAACTGGTACCTTCATAGCAGCAATGTGGACTGAGAACACATACTAGCTCTTCAGACAGCCTACATGAGAAAATGCAAACATAAACAAAATATGCTGTGCTTTTACCTAGTAATATGTCACCTCAGATAAGTGTCTGTTTTGCCTGTACCTAAATCCAGCACGTTTGTTGGGGTGTGTCTTTTTGATAATGTACATAAATACATAAAAATCCAGGGCTAGAAACCTTGTTTATGTTCCTGATTTAAAACAAGAGTAAACCTATTTAACGCTTACCAACATGGTATCTGTACCATGGGATTATATTAAGCTGATGGGGCACAATGGACAAAAATCACATTATCACAGAATTGGTAAGGTTGGAAGAGACCACAGTAGGTTATCTGGTCCAACCTCCCTACTCAAGCAGGGTCATCCTACAGTACATGGCACAGGACTACATCTAGGCAGTTCTGGAATATCTTCAGTAAGGGAGAATCCACAGCCTCTATGGGATATCCGTTTCAGTGAAGGGTCACCCACACAATAATGTTCTTCCTCATATTCAGGTGGGGCTTCCTATATATCAGTTTCTGCCTCTTGCCTCTAGTCCTATTGCTTGGCACCACTGAGAAGAGCCTGGCTTCATCCCCTTGACACCCTCCCTTCAGATAATTATAGGCATTGATGAAGTTCCCTCTTAACCATCTCTTCTCAAGGCTGAACAGGCCCAACTCCCTTAGCCTTTCTTTGTAAGAGAGAAGCTCCAGCCCCTTAATCATCTTTGTTGCCCTCTGCTGGACCCTCTCCGGGATCTCCATGTCTCTCCTGTACTGGAGAGCCCAGAACTGAACACAGCACTCCAGATGCAGCCTCACCAGGGCTGAGTAGAGGGGCAGGATCAACTTGCTCAAGCTGCTGCCAAAGCTCTTCTTGGTGCATACCAGGATACCATTGGCCTTCTTGGCCTCAGAGGTATACTGCAGGCTCATGGACAGCTTGCTGTCCACCAAGACCCCCACAGATCTGCTTTCCAGTTGGTCAGAAAGCACCAGTCTGTACTGCTGTATGGGGTTATTCTTTCCAAGGTTCACGACCTAGCATTTGCCTTTGCTGAATTTCAGACAGTTCCTCTCTGCCCATCTCTCCAACATGTTGAAGTTCTTCTGAAAGCCAGCACAGCATTCCGGGATATTGATAACTCCTCCCACACTTCTGTACTCAGTGAACTTGCTGAGAAGGCACCTACCCCTTCATCCAAGTCATTGATGAGCAAGCTAAACAATACTGGGCTCAGTATGATCCTTGGGGCACACCACGAGTTACAGGCCTCCAACTATACCCTGTGCCACTGTTACAAATTCAAACATTCTGTGTGGACAGTCAATGAGTATTGGATAGAAGAAAGCGGCAAGTTATATTGAAATGGATTAGAATGTGGTCAAAGCAGCAAATACATAAGATATGCAGGAAACAATTCTACCAAAACCAGGAGAGGGAATAGTTTTAAACTGTATCTAATCAGGACAAGGAATAGTTCCAAATTGTAGGTGTGTGCAATTTTCTTAGCATTCAGAAATATCTGGCTACCTTTTAAACAAAGTTTATTCTAGCAAGTTATTTCATTGTGAATGCCATTAAACACTTCAAAGCACCATGTGCTTATTTCAGTAGCAATTTAGATTTTTGCAGCAGAATGTAATGTCTTCTTGCGTGCGATGAGCCTGAACCAATCCTTTATATTCTTTTTTCTTTGTCTTTCTAAATGTGTGTGGGCTGCAGATGGTTCTGTGAAGGAAAAGAACTCCAGAATTCCCCTGACATTCAGATCCGTTCTGAAAGTGGAGGACTCCATTCACTAATTATAGCAGAAGCCTTTGAAGACGACACTGGACGCTATACTTGTCTGGCCTCTAATTTCATTGGTTCAGATAGTACATCAGCTGAAATATTCATTGAAGGTAAGAGGTAAAATAATAAGATACTTGAGGCATACAGAAAAAATAACTAAGCTGATGTTTACTTTTGGTTCTGCATGTTAAGATTGCATTTGCTATGGTGGTATTTCTACGGTGTTCCTCTGCGTTCCCTTAACACAACACATTTTGAACATCACATCATATTCATTCAGGTATTTCAAGGAACCTCACAGCAGTCAGTGGGTAGGTTGCTATTTATTTAGGGTACAAATGAGATAAAGAATGGAAATGGAGAAATAAACAGCCTTTAGCATATGGTTAGCTTTTAAGCAGCACCTTCTGTAAATCACTAGTCATTTGACTAGTGATACCAATGATGATTTTCATGGTAGTAATAATCCCCGTCTCAGTTCTGAACTCTCTGCCAGTGCAAATAAATGTGACTGCCCCAAATGAGTCTTCTTCAGTCACGTGTAAATGTATTATAATCCTTTATCTTTGGTACACTGATTTTAAGTCAGGTTAAAGTAAGTCACACTGATTTTGACCAGGATCAACAGCTAGTTACTGTAAAAATATTTCTGGACTCCAAAATTAGTCATAATTCAAGTATTTTTTTCTCCAAGAAAAGTTAATAATGACCATGAGTAGAATTATTAAATTATTTTTAGTGGATAACTGCATTTTAGGCAAGATTATATTTTCTTATTACTGATTTTTATTTTAATTCATACGTATTTCAAACATTTTTATAATATGTATTCTTTTACAAGTTTAGTAACTCATTAAAATTAATCTAAATGGCCAATTGAAAGAGTAAAACAAATTAACATAAGAAATAGTCATAACTAATCTGAATAATGCCATATCAAAATTATTAAATAGCTTTTGATTAACAAAGCAACAAACTTTTCACTATAAATTAGCTAAATAATGACATATGTGCCTGTATAAGATTTCTTTCATCATGCCTTTTATTCTCAGAACTTTATTATGTCACATTGGGATATATTAGCAAAATCCCCAAGATTTTTCTGAATCTTACAAATTCCACTAAGACAGAAGTAAGCATGATCTCAGACATACTCAGATGTAGTATAAATATATAATGCTTTATAAAGTGATAATGACAGAAACAACAGTAAAAAAGAAACAGCAAGGTAGAGAGAAGGAGTAAAACAATTCCTTTTTGACATCTGGCAGCCTTGCTATGTGGCAATGCTACCTTGAAGTTTTACAGCATGTTGCTTTGAAAGACAGGCAATTGCACGAGTCAATAGGCTCCTCCCCTACAATCTTTAAGGAAAACAGATTGTCATACAAGCATTGCTCTGGACATTAACTGTCCTGATGACACGGATGCCTCATACCTTTTTCGTGCAGGAGGCCCAGCCACACAAGACCTGGTTACTTGCTGTTCATAAGAAATACTTTCATGTAGATCCACTTTGATGACTTGACATTGCTTTTCTTTTCTTACCTTTTCTGTGCTACTTGTTGCTTTGATTTTTTTGTAGAATAAACTTTGCAAATAAACAGGGTGCTTGGGGATCTCAGTCCAAGCTTTGTTTGATTGGAATTGGTCTATGCTATACTATGCATATTGATTATGACTTGCTTATGATTTGTATTACAAATACAGCTATCCATATTTATGCACTGCATGAATGTCTAGAATAAATGTGTGAGGTATCTGTTGTTAGGAAAACTTAAGATAAAGGGAATAAATACTTTCATATTCTTTTCTTTAAGTGACCTCAGGGTATTGCCAAACACATACACTATATCAAGTCTTTCACTGGCAAGTACATAAATTTTATGTATAGGTTAATACAAATAGTCTGAAAGAAGGAGAACATGGGCAGCAAGTTTAGTCTGAAAATGTCTTGCTATATTGAGTTGCTCTTAATTAAGGTTGATTTGTTATCTCTGTATAAGCCATATGTTTGCTTGAACTTTTAGTTTTAGCATTTAAGTAAATAAAATTATACTTTTCCAGTAAAGCAGTAGTAGTCAGCATTTTTTCTTCCTTTTTGGCCATATTTGCTTCAATATGAAGGAAGACAGCTAAGAGCCTAGGGAAAACAGTTTGCAATTAAATTGGCATGGTTATGATTTCTGTAAGTGTCTAAAATAAATAGTTACAATCTTTATCAGATAAGAAAAATTGCAGCAGTTTATTACAGAGACTTTTCAATTCTTGCAGTGAAATGCAAAAGTATCATAGGTTTTTCTTTGGAATGTAAACATTAAATAAACCAGTAAAAGGATGTAAGATTATTGAAAACACTTTCTTTTCCAGGTGCCAGTTCTACAGATTCAGAGGGTGAAAGTTTAATTTTCAAATCAAAATCTGGAGCTATGCCACAGTAAGTGTGCAAAGTAGTACCAATGTCATGCAAATGTTCTTAATAAGGGACACTGGAAAATCTTTGGTAGTTTAAATCCGAATAAGCACCTGAGGTATATTTGTGTATGTTTGATCTTTTCTCCTTCTCTCTTATGATATAAATGTGTAGAAGTAAAGCTGTAGATTGCATTAATGTGCTTGCTCTGTCTGAGAAGTCTGGCCTTACCTTGACAAAAATTTTGTTAATACCAACTTTTCACATTCAGAAGTAACTTGAAGCTAACCAAGTCTTCATTTGTAATTACCCAATCCAGTGCCTCCAAAGAAATACGTAGAGGACCACAATTAAAGAAAAAAAATTTAGTTTGTATCTTAAGTCAGTACTTTTTATGGTGTGTGGAAGTGTAAATTAGCCAAAGATTGTGTTCTACTCAAGCTTCCTCCAATGTTGATCTTTTCAGTTGATAATGACAAATATATAGAAAATACAAGGTGGCTTAAGGCTAACTAACTAATATATTCTCATTTCTGATCTTATAAAGTGCTTGATGTTTTCTTTTCTTTCAGGGCCCAAAAGAAAACCACCTCTGTTTCCCTGACAATAGGATCTTCTACACCAAAATCTGGAATCACCACAGCTGTAATTCAACCTATCTCTGTGCCCAGTCAGCAGGTATTTTTAGACACCCATTTTTAAATTAGTAAAATATTTCAAATTTTCTTTCAAAATTTGTAACTCTTGAAAAACTCTGTCATTTTGAGGATTTATATGGCTGAATTACAAATTTACATTACTATAATAAAAATGATGATCATAAAAAATTAAGTATATATCCAGCAAATGGGGCATAAAAGTGCCCCATACATATGGACTCTTACACGGTGTGTATCAACAGAGCATGTGAGCAGCAAACTGATCCGGTGATGATGAAAATTACAGCATATATCACTTAATAATGACTTATTCCAATCCCAAAAGGATGTAATACAAATAAATCCCTGCAATATTTTTTAGCGAAAGTTTTAAATTTTGTAATTAAATTTAGTATTGTTGTCATTTCTCTGAGTCTTTCAGAGAAAAGTAAATTTTACCATCTACAAGTTAAATGTTCACTCATTTTAGATAAGTCTTTAATGCCACTGTGGCTGACTTAGAGTTTGCATATAAATTATAAAATACAAATGTAATAAAAATCTGTTAACCTGTACACGGTAAATTCTTTTCCATTCCTTTAGCTAACCTTGATAAGCTTTTAGGTACCTGGATTTATTTATTACTACATCAGTCGAGGGATGTAGAAACTGGAGAAGCAAAAAATGTTTCAGTGCAAAAGATTTACTTGAATGACATTAACAGGAGTCAAACTCTCAAAATACTGTTGAGCAAAGACAGTTGGATACAAAATTCTCATAGGAAGTGTAAAATTGTTCAAAGCTTGCATTTTGATTTTAGAAATATAACAGATGTGAAATAGTGATGTCACTCAAGAAACATGGTAGAAAGAGAACACCATAATAAGACTGCACATGTGAGAGTTTGCATTATTGCATAGATATATGGAGGCCACATCACTGATACTAGTATTCTTTCCATTGAATAGCACTCTTGCATTGTTTTGCAGATTCAAAGTCCTACTTCATACCTGTACCGTCTGGATGGACCCAAGCCTATCTATTCTACACCAATTTTTACAAAGGTATGTTTTATCCATCATGATTTTTATATCATAGTCCTATAGTGCAGAAGAAAATACCAAAATTACATATCCTAATGAAGGAAGGTTCAAGCATGTTAAAACATTTACAGTTTTCACTGTATTTTTCAGCATTAATAACTTCCTAAGAAAATACTTTTCCACAGCAACCATGAAGTTCTTATACATACTCCCCTATTAAAAACACTAGTATAATTACATGAGTGTTCTGTGTTTGTCTTATGCCCATGACTGTTCTCCATTGCTAAATCTTTGTAAAATATAGCAAAATAAGTACCAATTACACATCATAGTCATGATAAAGTCTCGTTCACAATAACTTATCTATGGACAAGAACAAATAACACCAGCTTTTTAACTTTGCTTTATAAAAAAAAAAATCCAAGCAGTTCAGATGTTCTTCATTGGGATGTCTTGTAAAATGTAAGGTAAGAATCATAGAATCATTTAATTTGGAATTGACCTTTAAGATCACCAGGTTAAACTGTTAATCCAGCACTGCCAAGTCCACCACTAAACATGCTCCTAACTGCCACATCTACACATCTTTTAAACACCTCGAGGGACTCAACCACTTCCCTGGGCAGCCTGTTCAATGCCTGACATTTTCATGAAGAAATTTTTCCCAATATCCAATCTAACCCTCTCCTGGCGCAACTTGAGACCATTTCCTCTTGCCCTATTGCCTATACTTGCAAGAAGAGACCAACTCCCATCTCGCTTCAAATTCCTTTCAGGTAATTGTAGAGAGCAATAGAGTCCCCATGAGCCTTCTTTTCTCCAGGCTAAACAACCTCAGTTCCATCAGCTGCTCCTCATAAGATTTGTGTTCTAAACTAGTCACCAGCTTTGCTGCTCTTCTTTGGACACATTCCAGCACCTCAGTGTTTTTCCTCTAGTGAGGGGGCCCAAAACTGAACACAAGATTCAAGGTGTATCCTCACCAGTGATGAGTAAAGGGGCCAAATATCTCCCCAGTCCTGCTGCTCACACTATTTCTGATACATGGTCCTTCTTGAAGGGAAATTTTGATTCAGTATTTCTTGAGTAATTATTTACATCCATATTTATCTTCACACTCATCCCTAATCAAACTTAAGAACTGAGAATTATGTAGCAGCAAAAAGAAGGATGACATATTTCCCTAATCAATAAAATGTAACTTTCATTAAAAATATTATCTACTTGTCCCCCAAACTATAATTTCCATAGTAATAATTATTATTTAATCACTATTTGTTGAAGTCAAAATGAAGAATTGTAAGTATTTCTGGTTATTACTTCAGAAAAACATTTGATTAAAAACTAATATGGACCAGGAAGCAGTTTTGCCTAGAGATAAGAGTAAGACCTGCTCTCCACAACTGTCTAGCTTGGCTCCATCATATTCCTTTCTCACATCAAGAAAGATCTGATTCTGTCCCTCATAGTTCTGCATCCATTCTGCATGTGTCACAGAAGAGTGAATAGTGGAGGTGCGACAGATTAGAGAATGTGGTTACTGCAAGGTCACAAGGCAGGCAACTTCCTAGTAAGAGTGGGAAGCAGAGAAATCCATCCCTCATCCAGAAACTAGCAAAGCAATCAAAATGCCTCTGTTTTTTCCTAATCCCCATATCTCTTGTCCCTGAAATCCATTATTAACTGGTTTAAGCCAGGAACATACCAAACCAAAACAACTTTAATTACAGAAGAAATTAACCAAATATGAAGAGCAGAATATATAATTAATCCAGCTTCCTGATGTACATTTATTTCTATACAAACTTTGCAGAACAACCCAATGATTTTTATGTTTCCATATAACAAAATTATTATGTATTTGATCAGATAGAAATCTATGAAGAGTAACTGGGGATAACTCTGAACTTCGACCTAACTTCAAGTGCTTTGCTGCATCAAGGTCTAAAACTCTTAAACTGGAAAGGACATGATACAATCAGTATACAGTCTTTTTATGGTCTTATAGTCTTTATTTAGACTACATAGGCTTTATAGTCTTATATATAGTCTTTTTAGATAAAGTGGCTATCACCTCTCAATTCTGTTACTTAGAATACTGTATTTCTCCTCTCTCTCAGTAGTTCTTCATGGAAGATTTAGAGTTTTCCTGAAATTTTTCAGATGTATATAAGAATTTATTACAGCCATAATACTGTCTCAGAAGCTATCGATACAATAGTTAATATATCCTAGTCACATTTGTGTCATCTAATTTTGCTTGGTTTGTTATATATGGCTCAGAGGAAAAGCAACTCCACCTTCTAGAGCTGGACTTGAAAGCAGCACAGCTACTCTCTCAGGATCAAGTCAATCAATATGTAGTTAGTTCCAGAATTTTCATTCCACCTTGTAGAAGAAGAATGAAAACTGAAAGCTCAAACTGCATCTATCTGCTTGTGTTAGTTTGAGGAATTAAATACTCCTACACCTTTTCCATCTTTGGTCTTAATAAGAATGCATTTGAAAATAACCTATTCAGTCATTTTTAACTATATAGATGATATATTAAATTTAATCAGAATGAAAGAAAATATCTATTGCAAAAGCATAATGGCACAATAAAATAAAGTTGAATTACAAAGGGAAGAAAAGACTCCTTTTAATAATGTAAAATGCTCCTGGTTCATTTGAATTGTGCTTGTTATATTTCAGGAGCTACAGAACTCCACAGCATCTGAGGGACAAGTTGTGGTATTGGAATGCAGGGTCAGAGGACCCCCTCCCATTCATGTTAAGTGGTTTCGACAGGGCATTGAAATTCAAGATTCTCCAGACTTCAGAATTCTCCAAAAAAGTAAGACAATGCCATGGTTTAACTTCAGCCAGCTTCTAAGCACCACACAGACAGACACTCCCTTTTGTGTGTTCAGGGAGCCAATTGGAAAAATGAGAAAACTCGTGTGTTGAGATAAAGACAGTTTAATAGGGAAAACAAAACTGCACAAGCAAAGCAAAACAAGGAATTTGTTCAGCACTTCCCACAGGCAGGAAGGTGTTCAGTCATCTCCAGGAAAGCCAGGCTCCATCACACATAACAACTGAGTTGACAAACACCATAACTTTGAATGTAGCACCTTTCTTTCTTTATCCCCTTGCTTTATACACTGAGCATGATGCCATATGGTATGGAATATCCCTCTGGTCTGTGCAGGTCATTTTTCCTAGCTGTGTCCCCTCCCAGCTCCTTGTGCACCCCCAGACTTCTCACTATCAGGGTGCTACAAGAAGCAGAAAAGGCCTTGATGACGAAAACATCACTGTATCATCAATGCTGTTTTAAGCACAGATACAAAACATATCCTCATATGTTCTACTGTGAAAAAACTTCACTCTATCCTAGTCAAGCACATTCTTCACACTTTATTCCATACCATTTATGTCATGGTCAGGTCCCACACTATCCAGCTATCTTCATCAACCACCACCCTACTTCCCATCCTTTGATATAATACTCAGATACCATTCCCCTAGTCTGTGCATTACCCTTGTAAAATTTCACAGAATGTACACTGAGTTCATTTAGCCCATGACTTTGGTCTCCATCTGTTAGGGTGGTCACTCTGTACAGGAGAGGTGGTGTGTTGCATGGAGCTACTGGGAACCAAAGCCAGCCCAGGTCGGGTCACTGCTGCCCTTGCACTGCTTCTTGCGAGGATTGCTCCTCAGTTGGTTCATGTTGTTCACTGTTATAGTGATTTCTATAACATGCAACTCAAATCATGGGTAACTACAATTTAAAAGTATTTTCATTGCAATCTCCACCCTTAGTCCCATTGGACCTGATCATTGGATTTACCATTGCAATTAGCTTCTCTTGTTCCTAGCCTGGCTGGCAGTAAAGGGTTCCTGCTGTTTTCATCCCTGAAACAGTCAATTCCAGATGTACTGGATGCCCCTCCAAGTGAAAGCCAACTGAGCCTGCACTCTGCTGCCAAAGGCATTGAGCAAAACACATTTGTGATAGCAGTTGTGGCACACCAGTAGGCTGCCTTTGACTCCAGTTCGTATTGAAGTCCTAGAACATGCAGCACAGCTGCACTTGGCCAAAACCAGCACAGGCAATAATCTGAATGGGCTACTTTTGATACAGGGTGGGGAAAGATCATGAAATTAGTCTGTCAGGATTCAGTTTTGGATAGAGTCCTCTCTTCTTCCCATTTCAGTGCTAATAGCTAGAAGTAATAACTACTGCTACTGACAGACAATTTAAATCTTGATTTTGTAACATGTCTGCACAGATTCTGTACTTATTTTTCAGTACATGTTCATTCAGTATACTGATGTTTATTAATGTAATATCTAATACTATTTTTCTCATTTGTTTTCCCTCCTTATGATGCGATACGCAGAGCCACGATCTGCAACTGAACCTGGTAAGAATCATATGAAAAAATAATCTCTTGATTCACTACCTCTCTGAGTTTGTACTGGAGCCATAAATAGAAAAGTGTTTCTGCTGAACATTGGTAAAATGAAACCCCCTTAAAGACAATGCTACTTTATCACACCTTCCATACTGTGCTCTGTCCTTTACATCAATTCCTTTATTAGTTAAACAGTAAATTCCATTTAGACCAGCAAGGAGAGTATCACAGCTTAAACTCTGACCAAACTTCATTCTCAGAACATGAGCACTTTGTATGCTACTGAGGAAAAAGAACAAGTCCCACAAAATTCCATTACCCAAATTGTACTCATAAGAGTTTCATAACACACAACCACTAAATACTAGTTTTGCCAGTCTAGCTTGGCAGATGTGAAGTTCTGAAATGCAAGTAAAATCCAATCCTCAAAACCAATGGCATATTGAATTTTTCTAGCCTATTCACATAATAAAAGTCCTAGATTTCAGCATGCAAGAAGTGTTCTTCCAACTACAGGTTTTCTCTGTCTGGTTCATTTTCCTATTATACATCATTATATGTGGTGGTAAATTCTTGAATAGTAAGCAGATGCTAAAAGACAGAATGTTTGCTCTTTAATATTTCTTCTATATGTAGAAGAGAAAACAGTGGTATGGTCTGAACCTTGCGTTAAGAGGGTGGCAAGTTGTGCTTGAATATTCTTGAACTTGGAAAGAGTTTTAATTACGAAGTTGAAAAAACAGAAAAGTTTTCTGTCTATGATCTGGGTATTCCTAAAGAGTGTCTCTGAACTGAAGGACCTTAGCAATAGGAGGATGTTTTAAACTGAGGGATCACCTTGTCAGTCAGGACAGACTTAGCAGCTGAGTGATGTTTGTAAAGTAGCAGCATGACCATGAGGATATAGACTAGGAAAAAGCAGTGAAGAGTTAAATCTAGGAGAAATGCCACTTTTCTTCAGTTTTCATGGAAAGGAGAGGAGGTAAAGAGAAAAAAAGCTTCTTCCTTGTCAGTTATTCACTAATTTTCTTACTGCTTCACAAAATAGTTATATACCTATTTTACTTCATGTCTATAATACATACACACACGGGTATGTACATGCACAAACACACATGCATGCTCTATCCTCACAGTTAATACAGTTAAACATGGTGTGCAACATCATCACCTCTAGTAAAAACTGATGCCCATAATACATGTGACTAAATGATTTTATTATGGATGCCTGAAATAGGAGCCATGTGAAAGAAAGAAAAGTGTTGGAAAACCAAATTATCCTCTAATGAGGACCTAAAACATGTCTGAGAACTAACAAAGGGTATTTTATGAACATTAAACAGACTTAAAGGTTTAAAAATTGTAAGTTTTGGTACAAAACAGTTTGAAGAGAGTTTAAATATCGTATTGAGCCTTTGAATATGAAAATAAATAAAGGTCAATAGGTTTGTGTTGAAATATGTTCAATTTTGTACCTTTCTTGGAAAAGTCTCCTGTAATATATATTAGAGAAAAAGTCTCTCAATTTAATTGTTTCCTTGATATCCTAAAAAAACCCAATCATATCAATAGGTTGACGTTTTTCCCCTTCCCAGAGGAGCACTTCTCCTGTCCAAGTAGTAATATCTTTTCCAGATTCAATCTACCAACATTATCAGAATCATACATAGTGTATCTAGCTCGCTCTTACTATGAGCTTCTTTTCCACAAAATCACTTGCAGTGCATTCACTTTGTCCTTTAACATGACAGAAAATATCTGAAAGAAACTTTTCATAAAAGTTTCTAAGAAGTATAAATTTACCAGCATAACTTAGGCGTTTACTTTGTAATATCTTATTTAAAACTGTTCTGTTAAAGCTCACTATCATGAATAATGTTTGCTTAGCTTTTGTAATTTTTTTATCCCTTCACCCTCTTTCATCATCATACATAACGTATATAATGCTAGATGAACTAGAGCAGATGAACTAGTAATTTTAGAGTAGGAATGCAGTGTTATCTAGTAGGAAGGAGAAGCACTTTTTTGCTTGAGACAAAAGGTTCATATTCCTTTGTGTGAACAGTTGAATACAAAGGAAATCATATATTATACCTCTTGCTAGGAGACATGTTTTTTTAATGGACAACGTAATTTTCATATTGTTAGTTGCAAGGCTTGTATAACCTATCTGACAGATATTGCTGTGGAAGAAGTAAGAATATTCAAGTTTGCTCACAAAGATGTCAACTTTCTTTCATAACTGCTACCTGGAATAGAAAATAGAAGGTGAGATTCTGAGTCCGAAAAGATCATCACTTTGCCAGTCCTCTCACATACCTGCACTGTCATGTTGATAGTGCTGAATCCTCTCCTTCCCATTTCTGGTTAGCTTGCAGACCCTAGGAGAAGATACCCAAAGTCTTGTAAAGAGTACTAGGGAATGGATTTTAGCATGAAAAGTACAAAGTACATTTGTTCTGTTTTCCTAAGTACAGAAAAGTTATTTAATGTCGAGGTAGCTCATACCACTCTCAAGGTAGGTGGCAAGGAAAGAATAGGAAGGCATCTCAAAACACAATTTGGGTACCTGTATTGTGCAGTTTAATAGACATAATAGTAGTGCAAGCCTGACAACAGTCTGTCTGGCTTGTTGTTGGGTTTTTTCATGTTTTTACTTATGTTGCAATATATATTTATGAGCACCTTCCTGCTACCCAAAGCCTATGAAAGAGTTTGGTGTTTTGTTCAAGCTGGATTCATTGAGCTAAGTACTATCCCTTGAGATTTGTACATTTTTCTGTTCCTACTAAGCCCTATTTAATAAGGTGCTGTGTCTTATTCACTGTCAAAATTAATGACAGCACACTTCTTGCTTTATTTGTGTAGGAACCAGCATTATGCATGCAAAGGGAATGTAAATAAAGTTTGGGAAAAGTATAAATATTTCCTTTTGGCATAAATGATGAGCAGTGTTTGTGTATTAGTAGTAATACTGGTAACACTGGGTTTTAGGATGTCATAAGAATCTTAGAATTTCTACAACAGGAAGCTGGGTGTGGGTATCAGAAACACAATATGTACAGCACTGGTTTGTGATGTAATTCATACTCTTAGAAGGCAGACTAAACAAAGCCTGCAAAGGAAATTATTCATAAGCAAACACACAACTGCTATTCAGTGCAAACAGTGAATACATATGCAATATTGATAGGGAAACCAGCATCCTATACTGGATAAGTATTCAAAATTTTGAAAGACAGATATGTTTTCTAAGAATTTTTCCAAGTGTACAACTTCCATGGAATTTTACAGAAATTATAACCAGTTGTAGTGCGACTTTAATTGTTGGTTTTCAACCAAAGCCCAAACATCAATAAACACTTTATAGCACTCAGTAACATTGGTTATCCTTTGATAGGTCAGTACTAATGATTTAAAAGAAAGTTGCTCCATGAGCTCACACAGGTAAGAAATTAAGAAGAAGGGGGGGGTTTTTTGCTACCCTTTTTTGATACATTCTATCTAATGTATTTTGCACTCCTTTTTCTGTCTAGACAGAAATCAGTTTGCATCACAAATCTCTCCAGACTGCTTTGTGAATTAATAGCTAGTCAGATTACTTAAAACCAACATCACAGTTTGTCAAATTACTGCTCTGTATTTCTTTCTTGGACATTTTGACTTTATGCTGATTGAATCCTTCAAAGAACAGGCTGCCTCAGAATGAAAAATCCCAAGGAATCACTTGCCAGCTGTTGATATTTTGACCATTACTCAGCTGTCTGGAGACAGCCACAAACTCTATTGAATTACCTTAAAACAATTGACTAATGGCATGTAAGAAGGAAACTATATGATGTAATTTTCTTTAAATTGCCAGGGAATTGCCATATAGACATGACTTTTTTTCCTAAGCACAATACTGTGTATGTTAACCAAACACATCTCAAAACACAGTTATCACTTCTCTTGAATTGTGCTTTCTTGTTCCCTGTTTGACTGCTGTGTTCTTACATTTTCTCTATTTCTACACTTCCCCATTCTCATTATATAAAAGATGCACAGATACCTAGATGAGAAATTACCTGATGGGCAGATTGCTTTGCCATTAAACAGGAGTTAAACTTCTGATGGCTTGGGGAACAGAAGGGAGAATAAGAGACAAGTTGTCTACAAGTTGGCAGAACTGTGTTTTGTTGGATTTTTACCAGGAAACCACCACTGTGACTACCCACTCTCTTTGTGTCTCAGAAACTTATGGCTTTGAACCTACATCTATGGAAATAGCACTGTTCATTGCATCATGATGAACAGCTACTAACAAAAGACTATTTATTTCCCTGAACTGTATGTACATTACAGTGGAAGAAGCTAATGGTCACATTTGGAGATGAAGGTGGAGATGTAAGAACTACTCTACCTTTAATGTAATACAAAGAAACATTCTGAATTCAGCACATTGTCAGTGATATAATTTGTTAAAATGTAACAGTTTTCTCTGTTACCAAAGATTATTCTTCCTAACGGACTCATGAACCATAAAGGGAAATAATTGCTCTGTAAAACGTAATCTTTCTTTCTAAATAACTGACAAAACAGCTAAGTACTTGCATGCCTAAGCATTTTACATGTTTCAGTGAACAAAATGCTTTTGTATTCATTTAGTCAAGTGTTAAATATGTTTTAAGGCCCTGAGAACAGCATGTCAGAGTTGCATTCTGGAACAGATTTCTGTGATGAAATTATTTGTCAGCGGATGATTGCTGGGAAGTAGAACAGACATTATTCATTTCAAATCTTCAGATTCTACTTAGCACAGTAACAGGAAAATAATTACATAGGTAAGGATGTAAAGCTAGGAAAATACTCAGAGCACTGCACATCTAGAGTGTGTTATGGGAGTCTTTAAAGAATGTTTCTTGCTTTCCACAGTAGTAAGCCTTTTAGCAAGGACTTAGAGGTCGGTGATTTTTGGCTTGGAGGAGCAAAATTAATGACAACAATGGCACTGTGTTGTTCACACATACTTTTTGCCCAAGCTGCCCTTTGATTTGTTCTTCAGTTTTTTATGTTTTCATTTTAGGCAGTTTTCTTATGACTGATCACTAATCTGTTGAAGTTTGCTCATCTAGTTGAGAAGACTGGGTTTTAAAGTCTGATTATTTTCATCATTAGTTTACTTTTAATTTTTTCACAAAGATTTCCAATTTACTATATATCATTTTAAAATATACCTCCTCAGTAAATAATCCATTAGAATTCTTTTGTCACTCTTCTCATGTGACCATTTTACATAACTATAAAACTGGAAGAACAGTATGCATTGATCAGCTTTGCTGTTTGGAAAACAGGTATTCTTGCTGGATGTTCTGTTTTATAGTGCCTTTACTCTCATTCAAAGTTCTCAGGATGGTGGAGTGATCTTCTTTTGCAGTCCTGAAATACCCAGCTTTCAGAGTTCTGCTGCTAAATGAACAGGAAACCAGTATGCTGCATGGATCAGATTGCATCCCCAGAGTCAGTTCAGCCCAGAGCACATACGTGTGGTTAACAATGCAGCTTCAACTGCTTATGACACACCAAGACGCTAAAAAAAGCTGATCTCAGTAGTTCAAAAACTAGCTTGTGTTACCCATTACTTTCCTGATAAGACCCTTCATGAGTCATTAATCTTCATCTGTGTCAGATAAGATCCAACGTGCTACAGTATTACCAGACATGCCTCTTGCAGCTACACAAAATGAGTGGTCTGTGTTGCCAAAAAAAAGGCATGTTCTGCAGTCTGAAAGACAGCTCTGTGCCAAATATTTAGTCAGTCATTCATTTTTAGCCTATTTCCAGTACAGGAAGGTTTTGGATACATTGCCATTTATAATTGGAAAAATTTCATAACTTTGTTGTTAACTGTCTAAACAAGACAGAGGTCTCTCATTCCACAATGAAAATCAGGAAAGAAAAATAAAAACAACAAACACTTCAAAAATGTTTTCCTTCTTTGAACTATAATAAATGAAGTTGACCTTACTGAACCTCTTCTACAGAATAATTTTCATGTGTAATTTATTAGATTCTAAAATATCTTTTCTCACTTTACAGTTTGTTTTTATAAGCTGTATTCCACTGATTTTGTGATCATATGTGGGATTGTATGTAAATGTTCAAATTGCAAAATGCCTTTTTTTTTTTTTAATAAACTGAATGCTGTAAACTTCCCTGCTTTGGTTTTGAGATGAGAAAATCAGCACAAACAAAAGAAACTCCTAATTAATTAAGGAAACACATGATGTAGCATTGTCCAAGTATAAAATTATCTCCATATGTTGTGTCAATAGTACGATTATTTAGATTAGCTATACAATGAAATTAAAAAAAAATAGAATAACATTACAAGCAGAGATAAAATAAAGTAACTTACTTGAAGAATATAGAAAGAAAATATGCCTAAATAATTAAATATGCCCATTATAAATGGATGGAATTGATTTTGAAAAAACTACTGTGATACTGAACCTAATATCGTTCACTCAAGTTTTCTGACAGAAACCCTGGTATAATCAAAGCATACACTATGGCTTATCAAAGTAGAATGAACAGATTTCAAAGAGACACAAATATGTCTGCATCACAGCTTTCTGAAGAGTTTCTGGGGACACTGCTTTATCCCATATTTTCAATTTATCCTTTCTCACTGCTGTGCAAATAGAGACAGAAATTATGTTCCCAAACTCTGAGTAAGGGGAATATTTATGTGTCTGGAGTATTTAATTCTGGTCGGTCTATACAGAAGAGTTAAGTGGAAGTGATGATAAAACACTCTCTGGTTTTGCTGGGAATAGGATTTGGTGTGAAATGTTGCATTAAATATAGAAAAATCTTCAGAGAAAAAAAGGAACTGTGTGACATTCGTGCTGGTTGAGTTATTTACACACAAAAAGAGCTTGCAAGGATTAATTGTTTACAGAAACCATTACACTGATTTCTATTAATTAGTACTATCCTGCATAAAAATGAAGATACTGTGTGTAAAATGACTGCACAGAATCATGACTGCAAAATTACTGTTCAAGACAGTTTTGAAAATTTAGTTTGATGAAGTTACTTGTTTTAGACAAAAAGTTATTTTCCTTAAAACCATTTATGTTAGACGTTCTGCAGTTCTCCCACCATTTCCTTGCTGGTTTGAGCACTTTCTGGTGTCCTCTTAGCATACAATGCAAAAACATTGCATGGTACTTTAAATAGTTTATGATGCACTTTATTTTTCTGTTTATTTCCAGAAGAGATATGCACCCTTGTAATTGCAGAAACTTTTCCTGAAGATTCAGGAATTTTCACATGCACAGCAACAAATGAACATGGTTCAGTAACAAGCAGTGCACAACTCACTGTCTGCTCAGGTATGTGATGAAGGGACAGAGGAATTTTTAATCATAAATCTTACATAATGTATTTAATTATTAATTTTTCAGTCTGCTTTCCTTGTGGAAATGGCTGCTCTAAGGCAGTTTGCCAACATCAGAGCATCCACATAAAACAAACTGAGTGTTTCTCTAGGCTCATTTCCTGATTTAATATTTTTGCTAATGTGAAATACATTTTTTAATTGTCTGCCACAAGACTGGCATATTTTTAAGCGTTAGAGTTCTGAGACTAGATGGCAGCAGAGGCAAAATGAAAGAAGAAATTATGCTACCAAAAGTGGCATATGTGTTTTTTAAAATGAAACATTGTCACGTGGTATGTTTAATTTTGTAGTACTTTTCTAAACTTATTGTTGTGGGATACACTAACCTAGCTGTCATTGCAAACTTGCCATGTTTATATACATTCTTCAGCATTTTTGAATTATTTGTTCTTAAATGATCCTTGGACTCCAGGAAGAAGAAATGCTGTTTCAGCTGTGGCTGGATTCCTGAAATAAATTTAGAGAGTTCCATAAGGTTCTAATTGTGCTTTTCCATAGGTAAAACTCAGAAAATGAAATGGAAGCATCAAGGAACTTGGCAGTAGTTTTGTTGCATCCAATTCAGTATAAATTATCATTAAGAGGACTATGAAAATAACTACACAAACCCAAAGAGATTTCTCACCTTTAAAAACTGATAATATAGCATGTGTGTATCATGTACTTTTCTATGATTTGTTGAAAAGACAATCTTTTTGATTTCTTTTAGCCAACTCGGAAAGCTCTAGTCATGAATCACTGACAAGAGAATCCAACAATGATGATTTCCTTCATTTCTCACCACTTCCTCCAGTTGAAATTAGCTCTCTTGAGTTTCCTTCTAAGAAACATACAGAGACCCACCAAGCAAACAACACTGAGTTGAGATCTGGTGTGACAGACCTTCAACTACAACTCAACTCATCCGAGGAAAAAACAAATGGCATCCATCCTGTTCATGGAGTAAATGGAATGCTTAGCAGCAAGCCAAATGGTGATAAATCCATCCCACCTCCAGCTGTCTTGCTTTCACCCACAAAGGAGCCACCACCTGTGCTTGCCAAACCAAAGCTGTGAGTAGTTTTGTTTGGGGTTTTTTGGCTTGGTTGGTTGATTTAGGTTTAGGTTTTTTTTCCTCTAAAGGTGATATTTGTTGACTGCAAATTTTTGCCTGATGCAATCTAGTCTTAGGCAAATGGACAATGACTGTCCCTTGAACAATCTTCTTGCTGCTGTAATTTATAACCCAAAAAGCTGAATACAAGAGAGAATTGTGTCCTTTATATAGTGCTACACCAAATGGAAGTACATTATATATACCAAAGTTTTTAGAGAGGTTTATGATAAAGGTACAAAAAAAAAAGAAATAGTAGTAGTGGCTGTTTCTGTGTGGCTTTTGTTTAGTCACTGTACTTAAAAATCATAGTGAGCTGAGATTTTTGGATGCTATTTCTGCTTCAACACAGGTCAGCTATTTTTGTTCTGAATGTTTTAGGGTTTGTATAGACAGTAGATATTCAGGTGTGTAATGTCTTTATTACTTTTCTATATTACATTTACATTTCATTCTTCTGTCAGGCAGAATATGATAACACTTTTACATTTTAAAATATGAAAAGGAAAAGCACAAGAAAAGGAGAGAGAAATAAGTGGGAAAAATTATAGTAACATTTTTACCTTATGTTAGTGATGATACCTTACTTATGCCTGAGTGATCTTATGCTGACTGTTAACTTCTAGCTTGGTTTTAGCATTGCACAGGCTTCTCTTTTCCATCTCCCTCAGGAATTTTTGGAGTGTGATAAAATGCTATTTTCTTTCATTTATATCAGTAGTCAGAAGAGATTATTAATTATAAAAATATGTTTAAGAAGAAGCATGAAACATGGTCTTCAAGCTGACAAGGTCATTTGCTTTAATACATGTTTTCACAGGATAACTTGCAAAATATAAAAATGCTGTTCTTTTAACAATCATGTGCTGATTTTAAACACACAAAAACACATGCTTGAGGCAGCAAGCCAACAGTATTCCTTTTCTGCAATCAGCACTTCTTTCTGTTGCTCTTTGTCATTCTAAGCACTCTCTGGCAAATGTGGAAGAGGAGTGGAAGAAGTAGAAAGACAGTGGTGAAATAGCAGTACATATGGTGGTGATTGTATGTATGGGAGGGAGGTTGCTGAGGATGGCAATTTGCAGATGATGCATGGTATGGAGTAAGGCAGGTGGTCCTGTACCCAGCACATCTGTTGCAAGACCCACTTGTGAAGAAAGGAGATAGTGGCTCCAGAGGAATTGGAAAAAGCAAATTTCACTCCAGAACTTCCTTTCCCAGAAGTGAGGTCACTTGAGATAAAAGAAAGAAGACAGTGTCAAAGACTTCTCATTGTATAATCTTCACTGTTACGTGTGCACAATTTGTTTTGTTTTTTTAACAGAGTCAGCATGTAAACAGAAGTGAACATTGTATACAATGAGTGAGTGCTATTATGAAAACCCTTTCAGTTGCTGATGTCCAAATTGATGATCTTGAAATCCCTAGTGTAATTCCACTTGAGTCCTGTATTTTGCCATTAACACTCGATGCCCAAGAGACTGATCTTGATTGCAGTCAAGATCCATGTTTGTAAGTCTATGCTGCTGTCAGAAATTGAAACCTTCCCTTCAGCCAAGTGCTTTTCTCCCGAGCACAGTGATAGCATAAGGAATGGAAAGGGTGCCAACAAAAGGTGAAAAAAGAGTGTCTGGCTGCAGAGACTTGAAATCAGCTTTCAGCATTTGTAAAACTGCATCCCTAGACAAAGTGAAGAAAACTGTGGCATTAAAATTTGATGAGTAGTAAAGTAGCTATCCCAACCATGAGTATGATCCCACTTGGAAAGAACTCCTCTGTGGAATTGTATCTGCTCATAGAGTATTAGATGATAGAACCAGCTTATTCCAGTTATTACATAACAGCGAGCACATTTATTATAATCTTTTAAAAATTATTTAAACATTTAAATTAACATTAACTATGTGGAAAGCTTGAAGCTTATAGATATCATTAATAAGTTTTTGTTCTTCCTGAAGACTGACTCTGATTTTAAAATTCCTAAAGAATCTTTTGTTTTCAATCTTATCTTAACCTGTTAAGTAATTTATGAGTTTATCTGTGACCTCTTTATAAACAGTTTATTCAGCCAACACTGAAAGTAATTGCAAAGGGTTTGGGAATGGTGGGCTGGTTTTGGTTTGATGGGTTTTTTTATAATTATTATTTTTAGCTGAACAAGGAGAAACTAAGTACCTCCTTGCAGTATGAAATACATTTGCATCTTGGCAATGCAGCTGTAACCAACACCTAAATAATGATTTACCACAATTCAATCTAATGCATGAGCTGACATGCTACAGAGACTTACTGTAGTTGCTTTCAGGCTTGTAAAGTTATTATAAAGTCCTAGAAAATGTTCAGTTAGTGGTTACAGACACTTTAGTAATCCTTAAGCCAGCATTAGTTGTTGCCTCAGTCTGGTGCTGAAAATATTTGAAATAGTTTAATGTGATAACATATAGACTTTTCTCGGGAACGCATATATAGAATTAACTGGGAAAGCAGTCAATACCAGATACTTTGCTATAGCAAAATCTAGAAGACAATAGTGCTAAACATGGTTAAAAGACATAATATTTCATTGTGCCTTGTTTGCAACATGGGTTTCTGTAGGCAAGAGAGGAAGTGTTGAACTGAGACCAAAAAACCCCTAATTTCTGCAATTCTGATCTCTGTTGCTGTGACCTATTTGAAGTAGTTATTACTGTGCATTGGACTTTTCCAGCAATATTGGTGTAATGCACAGTTGATCTTTCAGAAGTGTACCCAGAAATGTATGTTATCTTCAGATACTTTGCATCTCTCAAAACCAGGCAGAGTGTTAATATTAATTTCAGCGTGTAGCCTTTGTGTGAAAGTGCTGCCTCAAACCTCTTCTAACCTTCAGTCTGAATGTCTTCCAAAAAGACATGACACTGTTCTGTAGGACTGTACATGACAGGTCCATGATTTAAAATCAAGAACTTTCATTCAAGTGGTTTAGTATTATTACTATTTTGTCATTACTGGATGCACCTGTAATGACAGCTGGCTTTGTAACAAGCCATCATTATAAGATTCACAGGGACAATGTAACTACAGTGTGATTCCAGAGTTTCTTGACCAGAGAGTTTCTTTTCAGATGTCTCCTGGTTTACCTTCTTTGTGTTGAAGTGTTATTCCAGTCTGTCAAATGCAACGAACAGAAATCGTATAAGCTTAATGAGAGCTATTCTCTTCTATGCTTCTCCCTTGCAGATGCAGAGATCAACTGTAGGTAGTGATAACCTTCAGTCTATAGTTAATCTGTTAAAATAAACTCAAAAGAAGCCAGTAGGAAGTGCCATATTTGATGTTTTATTCATTGCATTATTGTGAGAAGTAATATTCTGCATGGGTATACATCACATATGCTGTGAAGGTGAATTGTCAGAATTCATGAATTCCATCTCACCCAACTCTCTTTGACAATGGGTTTGTTTTGGGTTTTTTTGCAGTGAAAATAAAAGACAGATATTAATTTTGTACAAAGAATATCTGTTAAAAGTGAAAAACAGTAAGATATAATTTCTTGCCCTTTATGAAGCTGTTGACAATTGGTATTTCCTTCTATAGACATGGTTATATTGTTTCCTGGTTTTTCTGTGATTTTGGGGGGTTTTACGGTGTAGTCAAAAATCTTTGTTTTCATACAGTACACAGAAAAATTAACCAGAAATAGAATTAAAGGGATATCAAGCACTTTATATGTAATATCAGTAACAAAAAGGGGAGATTAAAATTATTTCCTAAAGATACGGAGTTAATCTGGTTGATATACATCAAAGTCACTGCTATGTGGGATGATAGAACTTCCTCAACTAAAAACACTTGTGTTCATTCTGGTTGTGAAGTGATACTATTTCTTGAACTGAATCATTTGTCTCTTCAGTCTCTATTCCTCAGCAGTTGAATTTTCTTTCATGGTTTCTTCTCTTTTGTAATTGATGCCTCAGAGATTTTTGCAATGATGCTAGTTCAGTCATTTCTAGAATGTCTCTTATGACCTTTATTCAAATGTTTATTTTACCATTTTTCACGCACCATTGAAATTATTCTTAACTTTATTTTTCTTCTAGCAGTTTGCTTAATATTGAACTTGTAAATTCTTATGTCCTGATAAGCCTTGTGTTTTAGAGATAGTTCAAAAAGTTACTATTTCCTTAGTAATAGCATTTGTTATCTACAAGCAGTAAGACACTGTTTAGACTACGTTTGGAAGAGTTGGATAGAAAAAGAACATGTGAGAATAGGCAACAGTTCAATGATCAATGCCTTGGAATATACAGAAGTCAGGTATAAATCCTTAATCTGCCCCAGTCACTGAGACCCAGAGAACACTTGTGCTGGGAGCTTTGGAGCTTATTTGTTCTTGTGCATAATGGCAACATTCTGGAAATGGTGAGAAGACATGTGAGGCAGGAAAACCATCCAGTTCTAGCAATGTATATATGGATGTGATTTGTTGTAGCAGCCTAAATTAGGAAAGACTGACCACAGAAATGCTCAACTTGAATGTTAAACACTGATTTATTTAAGTTTTTGTTCAAAGTTATTGCATCTTCTGATAAAAACCTGAATAGAAAACTATTCTTTCATAGTTTGAATGATGCACAGAGCAGAGGTCTACTGCCATTATTTGTATGAAACAAAAGGTAAGAGGGAGCCTTTCCCAACTATGAGAAAGATAAATCCCACCACTTACATGTGATTCAACAATGAACTATGTCCTAGTGGAATTTCCATATTTCTCCACAAGTTAAGATAAAAATAAAAACAGACATTATTAATTTTGACTTAGAATTGTCAATCAGACACAGATACAGTACATATTCAAGATTTGTTGGCTGCAGCAAAAATGTGGGGAGTGAAATCTTGGTTATTAAGGAAAAGCAAAGATAAAAAGAAAACATAGCTCTTACAAAATATCTAAACTTATATGAACAATAATTTGAATCA